GAATCTGGGGTGACGGTGCCTTACAAGGAGGGAGTTGTTGGGGCATTTTCCAAGCACATGTGCTGGTGTTTCTGGCTCTCTGTTGTATTTGTGACAGAGGGACCCAACTTCTCTTACCTGTCTACTGACACCTGAGACTCCACGCAGGGGTGCATAGTTAATATTTAGTTTCAGGGCATTTGACCATTCAGACCCAGAAAGTAATTGTTTATCGTAATGTATTTCTTGGCTTTTGGAGTGTCTTTAAAATGGCGAGCTCCAATGCCCTGCCACCTGTAATTGGTCCATTCCACAAATGAATTTTCTCGTAGCGACTGCCGTAAAGCTCTCATATTCCTAATACCCCGATCAACCCCCAATTTCTCGGCACATTCAGCAACCTCAGCCGAGTAATCGAAAATTGATTAGAAAAGGGCATCGGGCACATTGGACAGTCGCTGAGCAATAGACCAATGTTGTAGAGGAGCCTCCCATTGGCAGCGGATTAATCCCAATCCTCAATACCTCCTGGGAGCGTATAACATTAATACTCAATATTATATTAATTCATTATAATTAATACATAAAATAAAAAATGGATGGAGTATTAAGAGGAAGAATATCGAGGATAGGGAAGATGGATGTTTTAATAAATTCCGAATTTGGGGAATAGGCCAAGGATAAGTTTTGTTTGTTTTTAGATTCACTGCACTGTCTTTGGTTGAAGCTGGATGTGGAGGGTTTCAGAGATGAGTCGTTTGTCATGGTTAGGAACGAAGGCAAGGATGGAAGTTTTGTAGAAATCAAATGTATGGTTTAGGGAGAGAGAGTGTTCGGATAATTTGGAGGCGGTAATGTTGGGTGATGCTGTCTTTTAGGAGATTTTTGGTTTCACTAATATAAGATGAAAAACTATTAGGGGTGGAACACGGAATACGGTAAACAATATGAGATCGGTATGAAAGTGCAACAGGATCTTTTAGAGATGTGTACAAATTAGAAAGAGTGTTGTGAGATTTAAAGGCAAGTTTAAGTTAGGGTTTGTAGATCGTAAAACTTTGTTTATGTTGTCAGAAAGATTAGGAATATAAGGTAGAGATCTGTATATGGAGCCCAAAATGGGTTGTGGAGAAACAGTGGAGGTCAAGATTGAGGAAGAGCTTTTATAAGTTTGTTGATGATATAGGGAGGAAAATTATTATTTGAAAGGATCTTTTTTATATGTTGGATATTAGTTACATGAAATTGGGGATCGGAGAGGGAGAGACTTAGGTGGATAAGATTTTTAGCAACATTAATTTTTGGTGATAAGGATGTTAGGAATGGAAATTCAGAAGTCTGCCTGTGTAAATTGGTTTAGTGTATCAGTCGGTGGATATGGTGTTGTAAGAATTCCTTATGAAGAGAAGATCAAGAAAAGACTTATTAACAATATGGTAATATCATTCTCTATAAATGAAATGAAAGTTGAGAAATAGTAAATTCAAAGATACAGATTGCCTTCAAAAATAAATTATTCAATAATAAATTGTCCTAAATAGAACATAAAAAATAAGTTTTATGAGATCAAGCAAAACAAACCTTTAAGCAATATTTCCATGTTTAGTAAAATAATAATTGTATATGTCTTTACTGTGAAATCAAGACATATGTTTTATTAAATATTGTAATAGTATGCCAAATGCTAATGTCGAGTTTGCCAAATGAACACAAAGCCCAAATGTTACCCCTACTAGGATAAACCTAATACTTTCATTTTTATTTACTCATTTACACCTTATATCTTTAATTGATCTTTAGAAATTGACTAAATTTTTAATATATTTTGTTATGTGAATGGATTCCAAGAATTTCCTGGTTTTTGCCTTATTTAATATTTCAACATTATTAAAATTGAAATTATAATTATATTGTTTGTCCAGTGTACTCATACATATTATACATATTATTGGTGTTATTAGGATTTGATAAGTGCTTTCCCTCATTTAATATTGATCCTAATCAATTTGCCCTAACAAACTTCAAATTTAATTTTGATAATAAAATTTGACTAGTTACTATTTTATATTTTATCTTTCATATCTACTTGTCTTATTTAGGATATTGTATGTGCCAAATTTTATATTATAAGTAAGATCAGGCTTGGTGAATGTATAATTGTATCTGTAATCGTGAAATGTATTTTAATTTTTTAAAAAGGTATAGCTATTTACTGCAGTACTAGTTACTTTATTACTGTTTTGAATACTATCCTTGTTATCAATTATTTCAAAGTAATTTTTAAATTATTTTTTGGTTTGTTTATTTACAATGGTTTCATTATCATTATGCTTCTATATAATTTTCAATGATTTCTTACCAGTTTTGATATTACTTTCTTTCCCATTTAAACCAAAAATTAATTATAAAAAATAAATTTGTGTATTAGGATAAAAATTAATCTTAAGAATATGGTATATATACATTTTTTTTTTTTTCGCTCAAGAATCTTATGAGTTCGCATAATATCTTTCATAATAACATTTCTAGTTGTATTTACCAGGACCTGCAATGAAAATTTAACTTTTATTTTTAATAACTATCGATAAGACTGGAAACTTATTTTTTTTCAGCCATTTCTTAACTACAGATTTATCCCATATAACTTTTTAAGTTAAAATTTTACAGGACATAAAAAAAAAAAAAACACTATTGTTTACAAGCTTTAATGAAGTAATTGGTTTCATTAAAAAACCTGCCCAAGAATGGTAAATGTGCATAACATTCTACTCTAACAAAGGAAATAAATTAATCATGTAATTTAATTTGGATAAATTATATATGTAATGGAAACTTTTTCTTAAAATGTTTCAACGAAGCTATTAAAAAAGTTCTAATCCTTAGTATTAACTATCTGATGCTTAGAAATATTTTTTTAAAAAAATGATGTAAAATAGTTTATGGTAGAAAATAGACTCCCAAGATAGGGACAAAATGTTGTCCATTTAAAATAAATAGAGAATCTGAAGTGTGAAACTTCACAAATTGGTGTATATTAAAACAAGCTTTAAAAAATAGAAAACACAACATTTCAGAAGTAAAATAATAACCAAAATTGCACTTCCTATAAGTTAAATATTATTAAATTAAATTATTAATTAACCTGTTCTTAGAAGTAAGTTTTAACCTGTAGGTTTCTCCTAATTAAAAGGGTATTGATCTAACTACCCACAGGATTAAATATAAGTAGTATTAAATTGTTAGATATGCTTTATGCTTGAGACTAACAATTTATCAGAAAAAGTAAGTTGTAATTTCTTACTAAGAAATTTATATTAATCTATACCTGCCTTTATAGTACTTCTTGTAAGTTATCAGTATCTAAAAGCTTTACTTTTTTACACCACTTTAAATGGTTCAATAATAAGTATTTCTTAGATTAAAATTGGATCATTGTCAGTTGCAAGGAAAAAATGAATTGAAAATGTTTGATAAATTTAACAGGTTAGCTACGGTTACGATCCCTGGGTTCTGATATTCGTCTCGACTGCCGAGTGGCCGGGATGGTTTCGAATTTCGCCTATCTTATGAAGTCTCTAAAATGGCTATTTCTAAAAATATTTGAATGGGAGTTGGATAGATGTAAAGATACAAATGTAAATAATCATTGTATATTTAGAGCACTAGTATTTTGCCTGGAAGGAAATGAACCATACCTATTCTCTATTTCTATTAATGTCGGTTGATGAATTTACAAAAATGCCAACCATTTACAAGTTAATGAACCCCTTAAGATGTTAAGAAAAATTTATAATATTTATTTAATTATAATTATTTTTATATAAATCATAATTATATTAATGCATTTACCTGATATTAAATATATATATATATATATATATATATTTATATATTTAACGTTATCATTTTATTTTGTTTAATGTTATTTTTTTCTCATAAAAAAAGAGCCTGTCAACAACTGCAACAAAAGAGTGTCTATTACTAGATCTTTAAAAATTCTAAGTCTATTACTGGTGCAAAATCAAGAATTTGGCAATTTTTATATGAAAAATGATACAAACTGCCTATCTAGCATAAATATTATGATAAAAGACTGAATTTGCTTTCAATTAAATCCATTTGTAAAGATCCACCATCAGAACTAAATCTTTAGTTCACATTATTGTTGAAAATTTCTATTAAGGTATATTTAGCTCGATGATCATTTTACATAATTGGTACAATATTTAACATTTTAAATACTGTAATCCACAATAATCGAAGTCATATAAACAATTTTAAGATATATAAATTTGTAAAAAAAAAAAAACAGCTTATATTTTGGCATCAAAGCTTGGGCCATACTAAAAATAATAAATACAATCTTTTAAAATGATTTTTTTAAATTAAAAAACTTAATCCAAAACACCCTTTTTTACATAAAACTACACAATAAATAATTTTTAGAATTTTCAAAAAACCAACAATAGAAAAATAAGAAGAAATTATTCTTTATCAATTGATAAACTGACTGTAGTATATTTAATAATTTATATACACATACATCACAAGTCAGGGTTATGTAAACTTTTAGTGACCAATAATAAGAATAAATGTGCGCTCACGTCCTCCAGGTTTAAAAATTCCCTTACTTCCCCAGTTCCAGTAGACACCCAGTCCGGTATTGATGGCCAGAAGTATGTTAGCAACGATTGGTGCTATCTGCATTGAACATTCAGGCTTTTATTATTATATATTACATTTAATAAGGCTTTTATTTATTTATTAACCTTTCCTTTAAAAAAAAAGTGCTTTCAAAATAATTTAAACATTCATAACAACTTTAGAATAGAAAATATTCATTAGAAAACCAAACAATAATACTAAGAATAAAAACAATTCAAGTTATTTGTTATTTTGAAGATTTTTTTTGTTTTAAATTATATTCAGTTCACCTAATTTTAAATAAACAACATGGTGTATAAGTTTTTACATCTGGGTTTTAAATTAGCCTTTAACAAAAATTTAGAATTAAAACTTACCATTATGTGCATGGAATTCTGGAAAAAAAAAAGCACTACTTTAATAAATCAAAAATACCAGATTTCCAGTAATTTCAATAACAGAAATAACTATTAAGAAAGTTCACACTATATTGGGATAAAGTATCAAACAGACTGAAAAGCTCAAAAAACTGTTTGAGTCACTATTCCTTACATAAAACATAATTCCTAATGTAGAAATTGTATATATATATATATATATATATATATATATATATTATATATATATATATATATATATATATATATATATATACATAATTAAAAATCATTAATATATATAAAACTCTTTTGGTAAGATAATTAATGATTTTGCGATATCAACAAATATGATAGTTGGAAGCACTCTCTTTTGGCTTCTGATAATCTGCAGTAGGTTTCTCAACAGACAAACAAAACTAACCACCAAAAGACTAAGATCTACCATGTTATTATCTATGCATCAAGATCTAATGATTTTTAAAAGAAAAATATTGTGGCACATAATCAATCCAGAGAGAGTTGCAGAGCTGAAGAATCAGAAAGAATAGAGAACTCTACAAACTCTTTATGAAGAGTTAGATGTGGGTAGGTTATCAAGCTTAGGAGGCTTAGTTAGGCTGGTCATATTGCCAGGATTAATGAGGAAGCACCTTTGAGGAGAGTTGGAGGAGGTCCTTCATCAAACAAAAAAAGAGCCACCAGGCCGAATTATTTTAAGGCCGAAACTGAGATGGGCTGTTGGAGTTATGAGGGTGCCTAAAAAGGGTAATCATAGTAGGAGAAGGTTTAAATGTAAATTTAAAAAGATTGTATTATTTTAAGAGCCATTCCAGATAACCTGATTTAAAAAGTGGAGGCTTATTTAAGGAATACCAGGATAGTAACTTGAGAATTGAAACTGGAATAATGTTGCGAAAAATGTAGGAGATTTTATTTTTTTAACTCTTAGATATGGATTCACACATGAAAAAAACAAAAATGCAAAAAACACAGGCCACCACAGCAGAACTTTTTGCCAACAAAGCTACATTTTTTGTTTCTTCACCTATAACTCTTGAATGGTGCATCCAAGCAAAAAAATTATTCTTTAAGAAACTAAAGAATGTTAAATTCTGTGTTGAATCAGTACGTAAACCTAATAATTTAATTTAGTGGCATGATTGAAACCACAGTTAACAATGATCTTTCCTAAATTTGTCATTGGAACTAAATTTTGTATACATAATTATCCTGATCTTTTTATCCTGATTGAACAGGTCTCGGATCTAGATGTATTTGACTGACTACCTAGAATCCGTCAACCCCTTAGCCTCATTAAAATAGTCTTACTTCTACTCTTAGTGCTATCTCTACACCGTCACACACCAATCTATTTATTTTTAAGTACATTCTCTTTATTTATTTTTAATGTATACAATTTTTCTTCACTTAGTTTCATGTACTATAATTCCTTTTCTGTACTTTCTATTCTTTTTGACTTCTCGCTACTAAACACTGACTGTTTCTCTCCAAATCCACTGTATGTCTAGTTCCCTAATCACATGTCAGGTCAACTCTCAATCCCTTTCTGCCCATTATGACGAATTCTTGCAATACTTTACCCAAAACTTTTATCATATCATTGCAATATCCGAAACCTGGCTCAAACCGTACATTCCACCATCTTCAGTTTCCTTGCCTAATTACATCCTGCTCCGTCATGACCGGGTAAACCGGACTGGCACTGGAGTAGCCATGTTTGTCCACAATAGACTAAAGACCCGAATCCTCGATAGCTTCCCACCTTCAGATCACCCTCAAGTAGAATACCTCTTTGTAGAAATTCTCTGTAATACTTCTCCTATCCTTCTCTGTAATACTTCTCCTGTGGTATATCGCCCTCCTCTCGTTCCATTTGACCCGTCCTTATCAACCCTATTCAACTTTGTTCCCCTCTATCCCAGAATAATTATCTCCGGTGACCTCAATACCAATTTCCTCTCAAACTCCAATGACAAATCCTATTTAGAAAATCTGTTTTTCTCACTTCACCTATTCATCGTTCCTTTTTCCTCCACCCACCATACCAGCAGATCTGACACTTGGCTAGACTTCTACATCATCGACTCAGCACAAAACCTCCTATCCGCTTCTCAATTGCCAGTATCCTTTCTTTCATCTCACGATCTGATACAAATAACTTATAATATCCGCACTCCTCCAATCCATCCTTGAACTATCACTTTCCGCCAACTGGATACCCTTACTCGAGGAAAAATATTACCTGACCTAGTAACATTGGATTTGAATGGAATATATTATTGCTCCTCCGTCGACACCATGGTTGATATTCTCACCACTTATCTTCTCGATATACTCAATACCCATGCTCCTCTCAAAACTACTACCTTTCATCATTTCCCTGCTCCTTGGATGTGTCAGGAAATTAAGGATCTTCTGAAGAGACACAACGCTGCACGCAGACGCTTTAGACGGACTAGGCTTGCAGATGATTATCAAACATTCAGAGTGCTTCGTAACACGACACAGACAAGGATCCGACAAGCTAAAGCAAACTACTTTCATGAAGCACTTTCCTCAGCTCCTGATATCAAATCAAAATGGCTTCTGCTTCGTAAACTTTCCCTCTGTGAACCTTCTTGATCCCCTTCCCCAGTTTTCCCAAAATCACCTGATGACCTAAACTCACACTTTATATCGGTTTCCACCTCTTCTTTACCGTCCCCTTCCGGCTTTCCTCCAGAGGTATCTTATAACGACAATAATTTTTATTTTTCCGACATTTCTCCTACAGACCTCGTTACCATTATAATGAAATCCTGTTCCAATTCCGTAGGCCCAGATGGCATTCCTATCAAACTAATAAAATTATGTCTCCCTGAAATCCTCCCAGCTCTCCTTTTCATCTACAATTTCTCCCTGCAGAATTCAATATTCCTGACCTCTTGGAAAAAAGCCATTGTCCTTCCTTTAAACAAAAAGCCTAATCCATCCTCTCCCAAAAATTTCCGCCCAATATCGATTCTTTTCAATCTTTCGAAACCCCTAGAAAGGTTAGTGCAATCTCAAGTTTCCAACTTCCTTGAACAATCCAACCAACTCGATCCTCTCCAATCTGGCTTCCATCCTGGCTACTCTACACAATCTGCTCTGATTAAAATTACTAGTGATATTCAGACTGCAATAGATGACAAAAAACTAACTATACTTATACTTCTTGATTTCTCCAAAGCCTTCGATTCCATTATCCATTCCATCCTTTTCAACAAACTAAAATCATTATCGAATATTTAATAGTTGACCGTTGCATTATAAAGGAAGATGGTCCGGGGTTGCGGTCATAAAAAGGCTAAATAGTGGTAAAACTATTTTATTGAAAGCCAACGTTTCGACCCGACTTTGCAGGTCTTCATCAGGGCTAGAACGGACAAGATACAAAAAGATAGAGAATTGTGGCAATTACATAATATTTAGACATAATTTATAAACAATGTGAATAAGCTTATTAGAATTATAAACAGTGAGTACAATAAAATATGGACTAAGTAAGCTGAGTAACAAGATCCTAAAATAAAGTAAATAGATGCTAACAATTGTTGTAGTGTAATATATAACAAATGAAAATGTGAGTATAATTCTACAAAATCTACAGGAGAAAAAAAATAAGATTAGAGACTTGCAGGTGTGTTCCTCTAGGAGTTTCACTTAGAACTGGAAAGGCAGCGGTAAGGATTGCAGGTATAGGGGGAGTTAACATGTGTTAACTAAGTAAAGATTGAAAAACCCAGGAATGTACAGTACCTAGGAATGTTTGAAGATATGGATGGATACAATGGAAAAATACTATATCTATGAAATATTAAATTATAAATATATAAGTATACATATAAAATAGAGTTGAGAGATGTGAGAGGTATTTCATGATTCTAGATCAGAGTACAATGTGAATAAACCCAAAATTGGTAAAAAGTAAAATGTAAATATAGAAATAACTTCATTAACATACATACATTGCAGAGCTAACTTAAAAGTATAGAGAGGGAAAAAAAAAAAAAAAAAATAGGGTGGTCATACATTGGTGTAGAGTGTAAATGTAAATTTAGAATAAAATAGAAGAGAGATCATACAAAGAAGGAATATTTAGAATAATGAACAATTAAATGAATTAATTAATAAAAATTGAGAGTAGATGAAAATAATAGAATAGAATATTTAAGTTATTTTTCCCTTATAAGACTTAAAATGTGTCTATATGTAAGAGAAATACAGTTTTTGTCTACTTTGTGATTAACGGGATTGTGTTCCATGTGAATGTGGATAGATTCGGAAATGAGTCTTTTTTCATGGTTAGGGACCGTGGAAAGGATAGAGGTTTTTTCAAAATCAAATGAGTGGTTGAGTGTTAAAGCATGTTCTGATAGTTTGGAGGCGGAAGGATTCCGGGAAGTTATGGACGTTTTATGTTGGGAAATGCGGGTTTTGAGATAGTTTTTGATTTCACCAATATAGGAGCTATTGCAATTAGGAGTAGAGCAAGGTATCCGGTAAACTACATTGGATCGGTGTTGTAAGAGTATGGGATCCTTCAAGTTGGTGAAAAGGGAAGAAAGTTTGTTATGGGACTTAAGGCCAAGGCGTTAGTTGGTTGTAGTCGATTTTAGGAATTTTTGTATATTGTCTGAGAGGATAGGGATATAGGGGAGAGATTTATATATGAAAGGAGTGGTAGATGATTGTGGGGAGTTGGTAGAATGGGAGGCTGTATTGTTTTTGGTTGTATAGCAATTTAAAAGTTTATGTATTGTGTTCAGAGGAAAATTGTTAGAGAGCAGTATATTTTTGACACGCTGAGTGTTGGCTTGATGGTATTGTGGATCGGATAAGGAGAGGGATCGATGAATAAGGTTTTTGGCGGTATTGATTTTTTGGTGATATGGGTGTTGGGAGTAATAGTTGAGTAGTCTGCCTGAGTATGTGGGTTTAGTGTACCAGTCAGTAGAGACAGAATTGTCAAT